CCCCAAAACCCCAAAACCCCAAAACCCCAAAACCCCTGTTTAAATAAATTTAATTGAAGATTAATGATCATGGATGAAATTAGTCATCGGTGTGTAAAGTTTAGCAAGATTTTTACTTTGTTCATTTGAGATTATGTATATATTTTATTTATTCTTCGTACTTATGAGTTTATTTCTGCTTCTAAATTTTATTTAGAACGGATATTTATGAAATTAATAGCAGCTCAATTCAATAAAACGAGCTTTGTGATTAAGAAATTAATTTGAAAGTTTGATTTAGAACTATCAGTCAGTGGAGAAACCCTGAGATTCTGTTCCCATTTGTTAAGAACGTGAAGTTCTTCAAGGAGCAAAGTCTTGATGAGAGCGATCTTCGTACAATTTGTGAGCGCCTAGAAGTTGTTCAAATGAGTGCTGGCAAGGATGTCTTTAAATGTGGATATTATGGAGACAGGTTCTACATAATTCTTGAGGGTGAAGTCTCAGTTCTAATCCCTAAGAAGAAATAAGGCTAGCCCTAAAAAATCGAAGATGACCAGCACAAGTATTCATACAAAAATATTGATGAAAAGACATCGAGCGTATTTATAAATTTTATTTCTAGAATGAGCAAAGCTGATGATATGAGCAGTATAAATGAGTCAGTTTCTAAGTTTAAGAAGAGAGACAGGGCAGAGAGTTATGCTCTCAGTCAGATTTCAAATGATAATACTCCTCAAAGCAGCATGAGTAGACAGAATCAAGGTAGAGAAGGATTCACTAATAATCTCGTCGTTGAAAAAGATCAAGATAGCAACAGAGAGGTAGGACTCTTGACAAATTCTAGATGAAATATATGCAAGTTGCTATCCTTAAATCAGGATCAAGCTTTGGTGAATTAGCTCTGATAAGTCTCAAGCCAAGATCTGCTACCATCAGATGCCTGACAAACTGTAAATTTGCTGTTCTGGGTAAGCTCATTGATGAAATTTTTAGCTAAGAAATACTTTACAATAAAGGAGGATAAAATTAGTGAAAAAGTAAGCTACCTCAAAGAAATCCCTTTCTTCAAAGATATTACCAAGACTAAGCTTGCAAAGTTCAGTTACTTCTTTGAAGAAAAGTGCTTTCAGAGAGGTCAAGTCATCTACAAGGAAGGAGAAGAGTGCAAATTTGTGTACATTGTGAAAGAAGGAGAATTTGACTTCTACAAATAAAATGCCTCCAGATTCAAATATTAAACTAGACTACACTGAGTATCTTTCTCAGTATCCACAAAATGATCGGAAGGGGAGAAGCAATGGTGTACTTGGAGAAAGTATGCATGTTCCCCAATTTCATGTAAGCTAAAGTCTCATTCTAGATCTCTTTGCTAGGCAAAGGGAAGATCTTTGGAGAAGATGATGCCTTAATACACCAGAGATACACTAAATCCTGAGTCTGTAACTCTTCCAAAGGCGTTCTATTCTATGCACACGCTGGTGAGTTTATCAACCAACTAAAATAACTTCTCTGAAGAGTGATATGAGTAAGGACTTGTGGCCATATCTAGGAGCATGGTGGAGGATGTGTACTCTAAGAATGACCAAATCTATTCAAAAATAGATAAAAAGGCCAAGATGACTGATCATACCAACTTTTACACCACCCTTGAGTTGTGTCTGAAGTAAGGTTTTGACTTATTTGTGTAGAATGAGGTATAAGAGAAGGAAGAAGAAAATCTCAAAGACTAATTACTCTACAGATTTTGAAGAAGAAGCAGCAGATATTATGGATATAGTCCCTAAATCTAGTAGTAAGAAGAAGAGAAAGAAGACTGGTAGAGTAAAAGGTTGATAAGTCAGAATTACCTTGATTGTTTTGCACTTGGTCTTGATTATGAAAATTTTTGGATATAAATTTTTTAATAAAATGAAGAAACTTGGATTATTAGTCATTTTAGAATAACAAAGAGTCACGATTTGGTTTCTAAAAAATGGAAAAGTCTCTAAATTTTAGATAAATAATGGGATAAAATTAATTCTTATCCAAAAGAGTAATGTTTTGTCTGGTTATATTATCACTACAGACTTCATATGCGCAAATTAGAGATTTTTAATTAAAACTGAGCTTTAAATTATCAACTGTGGTCATGAAAATATCACTGACAATAAAATAGGGAAAATATACAAAGCAATGGTTACTTCATTAAACTCATCAAATAAATTATAAGGAGTATTGGAAGAGAAACTAGAAATTTGGGAAGAATGCACTTGAACTCAAGAATTTCAAAGAAGAAGAATTCTTTGTCTCCAACTTCAAATTGTAGTGATACTAAATATGGGAGTTTTTATGATCCAAATAAATCAACTTCTAGCAGTATGATTCGTAGAGTCACCGAAAGTAAATTTAACATGGGCAGGCTATCTCTGAAAGTCAAACCAGAGCTCAACAATACAACTCAGGTATATATTTAGTTATTCAAGTAGTTAAGGCATTGTAATAGTTATTGATATTGTATAGACTGGAATGTCAGGGTTTAAAACAAAGAAGAATTTGAAGAAACAGAGACCTAAAACAGCTAACAAGGCACAAAGTAATAGAATGAGAGAAGAAACTATTGCTTCAATAGCTATTCATCAACAACCTAACACGGATTCGAAAGATAAGGATTTAAAAGAAGAGTTTCTTAAAAAGCATTCAAGCAGCTATTGTGGAGATTCAACTACTTCAATTCAACGTAGTCTACTCTACAGAGCACGTAATTCTAATTTTAGTAGCTTATATCTTTCCAAGGAATATCTTAAAACAAAAGCTTTGAACAGGATGATCCATCGTTCTCAAAATGAGATTAGCAGGAGCATTGTGAAGGATAATTACATTAGCACCCCACAAGCTACTAGAGGTAAGCAAGGATCTAATCTTATAGAAATTCCATTTGAGCGGGTATTGAAATCTAGCTGTAAGAGATCAAGAGTTGTCCCAATAGCTTCTACCATTCGGCCAAGATCAGGACGTCTTGGATGATCACTTAAGTCTAAGTTTTAATGAGAGTTGAATTTTCAATTGATCTAAATATCTTGGGGTTTTGGGGTTTTGGGGTTTTGGGG